CAAAACTGTATTCATTTTCAAACAATGTACTCAATATCATAAATGTGATTTTTTAAGAGTTCTTACAAAAGAACATATTTTGTAATTGCTGCAAAGTTTATAAGAATTCCATCGAAAGTAATGTTAATTATATTTTTAAGTGATGTTGTTGTGAAGAATATTATTTATAGAATTTAATATCAGTGCCTTATAAAACAGTTTCTCTTACAAATGGCAAACTTAATACAAATCAGCGAAGGTTAAGTTATATGTAACTTCAAATACAACAAAGTGGATTGATGTGGAAAAAATAAAAATAAGAAAAAAAGATATTAGGAAGTGTATACAATTAACAGGGATATTTCGAAGGCACATTTTCCATTTATATCAAGTAAATTTTATTTATGGAAGGTCATGAATTTAAAAAGAAATGAGCAAAAACAATGGAAGAACGTATGTAAAAATCCACTAACCCCGTCTAGTCATATCTTTTTAGCAGAAATCCTGCCATAGCAGATTTTGGTCTAGCAAAATTACCCAAATTCACTCTCAGATATTTAAGTTTCATCATTCTGTTTGTACTAGCTAAAATATCAGCACTTAATTACTGGTAATTTATTTTTTGCAACTTCATTAATCATAAAATATATGCATTGACATAGTATTTTCATCATCCATAGCCCATTCAAATATTGTTATTTCTATTCTTTTTGTTTTGAACTGTATTGAATACAAATAAATGTGCTAAATAAGTTTTCAATGGTGATTTTACTTGTTGCTCCTGATTACCAATTTCATTCCATTGTACCTTTCCTTCATAAATTTATTGTATTGCAATGTGACAGAAAACTGGGACTTCGTTTCTAATAGTGACGTGTTCAAAGAAAACTTTGTAAACACGTTTAAAACCCAATTAGTTATCTTACTACCATTGAGATGTAAATCCACAATCCCTTCTGAGAAAAAAATATGAATTGTTTAAAGACACATTCAAATAAGAATCATACTGCCATCTAAAATCATTATTGAATATGAGGCTATGATAAAAGAAGTTTTATTCATAAAAAGATTTACAATTTATCACCTAATCTTCCGCCACTTTATCGGAATAATAATTATTTTCTACTATTCATAAAGTCATTGAAACCTTTTACTTCATTTTTGGAGCTTGAGCTGGAATAGTGGGTACATCTTTAAGTAACCTAATTGGGACAGAATTAAGACAAGCAGGTTATTCAGTTGGAGATGATCAACCACACAATGCTATTGTAACTACACATGCATTCATTATAATCTTTTTCACGGTAACACAAATTATAATTGGAGCACCTGATATAGCATTCCCACGAATAAATAATATAAGATTTTGACTTCCACCACCATCATTAACCTCTTTTCAAACAGAAGAATAGTTGAAAATGGTGCAGGAACAGTCTGTCCATTGCAATCAACAGGAATTGTCCATGTAAGAGCATCAGTTGATTTAACAATATTTAGCAGAAATTTCATCAATTCTAGGAGCTATAAATTTTATTACAACCATAATTAATGTATGAACTCCTGATACAGCCCTAGATCTACGTGTATGAGCTGCTTTTGACATTTCTTATTATTTCTGTTTCTAAAATAATCATTTGCAAATCCTGTTATTGTTAGGCAGGGATGGATCCACAGAGAGACCAATGAGGGGGATCCCCCTTTCCACAAATTTTAAGTAACTATTATTTTTAACTTGTCAAGAAACTTTCAAGCAAAAATATTTGCAGATAATTTTCAAAACGAAACAAATCTTTTCGCAGCATGAGCTGATTTAGCCTGTGTCATTCTACATAATATGTAATATGACACATTTGTCCAAAACATTTTGAATAATTAATATATAAAACATTGTTATTTAAAAAAAGGTTAAGTATAAAGCAAAACACTATAGGGATGTGGGCATACTTGATGAATGCGCTTTGTATGGATGCGAATTTGTTTGCTGCCTACCCACACGCAAGAATCAAATTTCCTATGTCATTCAGCCGCGATGTGTGGGTTTTTTGTTTTGTTAAGAACTCCAAAGCTAAGAAATTATTATCTTTAGTATTCATTTTAAATTTCTATAATTATATGTAATTAATGTGTGTATGATTATTTGAGATGAGTGTGCATAAGCATTAGACTCAAATTTTAAAGTTGCACATTTCAGGGTAGGCTCATCCTGACATTGCTTGCCCAAACATTTTTTTGAAAAATGTTTAAACTAAAGCATTTTGCTATACTACAGAGATGTGTGCACACTTGAGGAATAGGCATACATATACATATGCCAGCGAATTTGCTTGCTGCTCACCCGCAAGCAAGAATCCAATTTCCTATTTCATTCAGCTGCAAAACGTGTGTTGTTGGTTTAGTTAAGGACTCCAACGCTTATAAATAAATTATTTATAGTATTAACTTTTAAATTTCTTTAATTGTATATCCAAATAATGTATGTATAATTATTTTAAGTGAATATGTATAAGCATTAGACTCATTTTTGGAAACTTTTATGTTTTGGGGTAGGCACACCCTGGTGTTACCTACCTAAACATTGTGTTTTGATAAAAGGTTTAGTATAATGCAAAACCATTATAGGGATGTATGCATGTTTAACGAATGCAAGTGAATTTGCTTGCTGCCTATTCGTACACAAGAATCCAAATTCCTATTTTATTCAGTCGCGAAGCGTGTGTTGTAGGTTTTGTTTAGGTCTCCAAAGCTGAGGAATAAGTTATAATTATAGAATTAATTTTAAATTTCTATAATTGTGTATATAATTAATGTGTGCATATTTTTGTAGATAATTGTGTATTTGCATTAGACTCATTTCTTGAAGTGTCACATTTCATGGTATGCACTTCCTGGCACTGCGTACCTAAACGTAGCAGAAAGCTAGTAAAAAGCAAAAACAATTGCAGATTTTGTGCAAACTTGACTCATAGGCGTTGTGCGTAAGCCAGCAAAGTTCATTGCAGCCTACCCGTACTTAAGACTCCAATTTCCACTTCATTCAGTCGCGAAGCATGTGTTTTAAACTTTTGTAATTTTCTGAAAAAGGTTTAATAGAAAGCAAAAACACTATAGAGATGTGGGCATACTTGACGAATGTGCGTTGTATGTATGCCAGCAAATCCGCCTGCTTCCTACCTGAACCTAAGAATCCAATTTCCAGCCTCATTCAGTCGGGAAGCATGTGTTTTAGGTTTTGTTATGGTCTTTGAAGCTGAGAAATGAATTATATTTAGTATTAATTTTAATTTTTTTATAATTTTATATGCAAATAGTGTGTGTATAATTATTTTAGATGAATAGGTATAAGCATTAGTCTCAATTTTTGAAGTTGCCAAGGTCAGAGTAGGCACACCCTGGCGTTGCCTACCTCAGGTCAGTTTCTGGAGAAAGTAAGAAGCAAGAGAACTAGCAGGATGTGTTCATTGAAGCATGCTCGTTGGGCTCAGCCAATGAAGTCCCGTGGTGCCTACCCGCACGCAAGAATTCAATTTTCATTCTCATGCATCCGCAAGGTAGGTGTTTAAGGATTTTTTAAAGACTAAGAAGCTTAGAAATAAATAAAATTTTGTATTAATTTTAAACTAGTATAACTGTGTGTCATTAATATGAGTAAAATTATTGCAGAGGGATATGTATAAGCATTAAACACATTTTTTAAATTTCACTTTTTAGGATAGGCACACCCTGACGTTGCCTATCTTAACATCACAGAAAGATAGTAAATAGCAAGAACACTAGTGGATTTTGTGCAATCTTGACTCGTGGGCATTGTGCATAAGCCAGCAAAGTTTACTGCAGCCTACCCGTACTTAAGACTCTAATTTCCACTACATTGAGTCGCGAAGCATGTGTTTTAAGGTTTTGTTAAAGACCAACAAGCAGAGATATTATTATTGTATAGTATTAATTTTAAATTAGAATATATATGTAATATATAGAATGTATATGTAAATAAAATATGTATATTTATTTTAGAAGAATATGTAGAGGCATTGTAGGGATTTGGGGAATTTGTGCTTATCAGGGTAGGGTCACCCTGGCGTTACCAAACCTGACAAAGTGAAGAAAGGGCAAAAAAAAATCTGGTAAAAAGTGCATTGGTGTAGTGTTGTATTGATAATTTTTGAATAACGAACATGGGGCTACACATCCTTGAGGAGGTACAAGCTGCCAAAGTGGTGGAAATGGTGTGTGTGTGTGTGTGGGGGGGGGGAGAAAGGTAAGCTATATTGGCCTGCTTTCCCCTAGATTTTTCTACCCTTATGGCAATCTTTGGTGCAAACAGTGACCCAACAGGTTTTTTTTTTTTTTTTTTTTTTAATTAGTAGATTTCAACTCTTAAATTAGTGGCAAAGCAAATGGAAGCTGTGTCAAGAATGTACAAGAGAATCTAGAAATATATAAAAAGATTTTGAATCCATTAGCTTAGTTACAAAAAAATATTTAGAGCACCCAATTTCTTCCTGAATGTTTTTCCTGTGTATTCCCAGTTTTCCAGTTTCCTCTGCTTTAAATTATGACTTGAGAAACATTAAAAAATGATTTTGAATTTTAAAAAAATCATCATAATAGTTTTATTTTTAACCTTTTTGACACAATAGTAAGGTCAAATTTATAATCAATGTGGGCATTTTGTAGCAACAGGAAGACCACTTTTCCCTAAGGTGAATTTCCTTTAATTACAGGAAATGTTTTAAACTCTTTCACTGACAACATTTGCATTCTTTAATGAAAAAATTAAATTCAAGCAAGCCTTAGGTCAGTCCCAAAAATGTTGGTTTTAAAGAAAGCAACCACCCAGAACTGCTTGTGTTGTGCATTGTGTGTTGTATTACAGGTCTCCCTATTAATTCTCACCACAGATAACTCACGTTACAATTACACACATTCTTACCTTCTGATGCATCACATCAAATCAAATAAATACTTTTTCGCAAATTGAGTTGTCCGCTTAATTTCTCCACTCTGATTTCTTTGGATTTTCCAAATTTTCCTTGTTTTTCTCAAAATTGATCACTGTGTTCATAGTAGAATTTGCATGTTAGAACATTTTTGAAAAATGGGAATTCAGGCTAGTATAAAATATAAAAAATATATTTGTTTCATCAAAGAAAATTTTCCATTACACATCAAAACATAATTTGCTTACTCTGTTCCTTTGTCATAGATATGATATAAAAGTCTCAGAATTGGAAACTATTAAGATTAACCTCTCACACATTAAACTTTAGTGCATCCCTTGAATGCACCCAAGTAATAAAAAAAGTTCAATTAAAATTGTTGAAAATAATAGTATGTTTGTACATAATCAGGTAGCCAAGATGCAACAGGGTATCAGGCACATTTATCACTTATCACATTTATAAACAATGCCAACATCACTTTAATGTATTGTACTAAAAAAAAATATAAAGAAAAATGTTTATAGTGAAATTTACTCTTCATGGTCTTGAATCACACAGAGACTGATTGCTGTTAAAACAGTCATCTGGGAAAATCTTGGACACACCAATTAACGTCAGTCATCTTGTCAGCTGATGGTAAACAAGAGGACGAGATGTGGAAATCTCTGCAAATATTATGAAGATCTTTTCTCTTTATGAGAGGAGTTCTCTGGGACTGATTTGCCTGCAGTTTTCCATTACGTGCTAGATCTAGCACATGCTCAAATGATGCTCCTTGGTTCAGCATTTCTGGAAGAAAGAAAAAAGCAACAACAAATGTTTAAAACATTATAACAGACAAGCAATGTGCGTTAAATGGTCAAGGAATAAGAATTGGAGGGTACCAAAACAGTTACGATGACATTGACTAAGGGAAGCCCTGAGCAAATTTGGTACATGCTGCCCTTCATTCACTCCCTCATTCAAAAAAACACCTTTTAGGGTCCATTTTTAATATTGTAAGACACGAATTCAGAAGAAAAATTATCAGCATCCATGCAATACTATGAAAAAAACAATCTCTCATCTTGTCATTTTCTTTTTCTCTTTTTATAGCTAAGTGGATTTTTCTCTAGCTACACCACTAAAGAGCCTTCGCCTAAACAGGTACTATTTTTCTGCTGAGCATCATTAAGAGAAAAATGGGAAAAAAGTTGATAGAAGATCTGGATGCAACAAATTATACTTTTGAACACAACACACCCAGATAAAGTATTACACTAATATATTGAATTTGTGTTTATAAAAAAATGGACAGTTTTCAAATAGTCTTCTTTATTATATTATATTTTTTTATACTCTATTATATTGACCATATGTTTGTAGAAAATGGGCAGAATTAAAAAAGATCATATATTAAATGAAACTTGATTTTTCAATTCAAACATTTATTGGTTGACAATTTCTGGTAAAGTAACATATTATCACAATGTATCAAGGAACAATTAGGTCTTCATCAGGCTAGACATAGAAAAATAAATATTAATAAATGGTTACACACTTGAAACCTTATATAAGAAGTACCCAGTAGATATAATTACAGGCTCACCTTTTTGTGGATGTATACATTTTAACTGACAACTGTTTGAGTCATGCCTCAAGATGTAATAATACTTGGACATTAAATAAGAAATGATAATTGTGAAAGGAATGTTTTGAAGGGAAAAAGGGAAGGAGAGAGGGAGGGGTAAGTAAGATGAGGAAATATATCAAAATACATTTTTAGTGACTGGGGGAGTGTGTGGGTGGGAGAGAAACTATAATTAAATTTTTTTTAAATGTAAAAAATGCAAGGTGCTCAATTTTAACTCAAGTTGCTCAATAAAGTAAAAAAATGTGTGTAAATGAATTGGATTCTATTGGGGAATTACCACATTGTGTAGTTTTTGTGCATAGCCGCAATGTGGATTCACAAAGAGAAGAAGCATGAAAGTAGCTATCTTGACATCAGAGATGTTAATACACAAAACAAGGAAAAGAAAGGATTATCAAAAGGCATACGGCAAAGTTACTTGACAGAAACTCTGGCAAATACTAGAAGAGGGGAAAATTCCAAATAAGTTGCTGAATCCAATACAAAGTCTCTACAAGAATTCAAGATTCAAAATACTGTTAAGAGACAGAAAAAAGTTGGCAGCAATAACAACCAGCAGTAGCTTAAGGCAAGGATGGGGGTTATCACCCATCCTCTTCGATATAGATATTAACCACTTAATGACGAACTGGAGAAGGAAAGTTACACAAGGAATACAGATCACAAAGACAAGAAGATGTACAATCTTGTGTGCTGATGACAAAAATATCTTAATGGATTATAAAGATAATTTACAAAGTGCAGATTTTGAACTGACAAAAGTGGCCCATGAATATTCTATTATGATAGCAGTTCAGGAAACAAAAGTTGTGTCAATACAAGGCAAGGAACAAAGGGGAGCCAAAATAGTAATAAATGAAAAATTAGTGGAACAAGTAAATACATTTTCATACCTCAAAAATATCATAAGTGTGTACAAACAAACTCAGGAAGACAGAAAACAAACTTATAAACCACATTAGAATATGTGGAACAATTAAGAGGCACTTTGGCAGAGACATTGACCTGGAAACAAAACAAACTCCACAATATAGCTGTTAAAACTAGAATCACGTATGTGTCATGAAAGAGAAAGATAAGAAAAAACTACAGATAGATTTCTAAGACACCTTATGGGTATCAAAAGAAGACACACTGAGAAATAAAGACATCACAAAAAAATTGAAAATGAAAGGTTTAGTAGATTCAAAGGAGATGAAAACATCATTTATGGAGAATAAACAGCAACAGATTTGGCAAATTAATCTGGAAGTTCAAATCAACAGAGATCGGAGATGGAGGCAGACCACTAAACAGGTGGCAACGGCAGGAGCACTTGGAAGACTGCAATAAACCAATAGAAACAGGCTATAGAGCCTAATTTCTGGTCAGTTCATGATGATGATGATGATGATGACATGAATTCATCAGGATTTTTGTCTGACAGCCAAATTTTTTGATACGTTTAAAGAAGTTTGAGTATTCTTCTTTCCGATTATTACAAAAGCACCAAACAATTCCCAATAAAATATAACCTTAGAAGTTAAATAGTTTAAGGAAAATGAGATAAGAGGCTTGTATGTGATTTCTTGCAGCATGGCATTTTTCTTACCAGCAATTTCAGTGCGCACAGCTTTACTTAACGTTGTATGACCAATATCCATGCTATGGCCCACATGAGTTTTCCAAAATTTAACATCAAGTTGACCATCTTTAACAACTACTTCTAGTCTTGATGGGCAAGTTCGACCAATTTTACTAGAACCTGCTCGCTTTAATTTTCGAATATTTTTCCCAGTGCACTTGTAACTATGTGATCTGTGGCAATTGTAATACTTTTTTTCTGTTCCATCTTTCATGATTTTCTTTGAAGTATCCAAGACATAAAATGAAACGTTATTGGCTTGAATACTGTCTTTCCACAGCTGAAAATCTGCAAATAATAAAAAAATAAGAATAAATAAAAGTAGAAAATGTTTGAGTATCTTTTGATATTTAAGAAAAGATTATTATTAACTGTGTGACGCATGTTTCACATTAAGTTGTTTTTCTTCTGAATTTAAAAAAATATTGTTTACAGGTAGATGTAAATACACAAAATTTAAAAATTTTGGGGGATTTCATAGCATCCAGATGCGGAGTGACTTAAATTTTGGATGAATGAATGAATTTGGCCACGGAAGCCTGTGAAATCAATATGAATTTTCCTAATTTTAATTTAATGATTTAACTTTCTTAAGTTCAATTTTATCCTGTTTTGAATACAAGTTTTACGCTCATGTTATTCTAATTCATTCCGATTATGAATGGCTTGGTGTCAACAATTTGATTGAAAGTTGAAAGTTGATTGAAAATTTCCTAGAGTGTAAAATATTACATTCTATCTTTTGTAGATAGCTAAATTTAACTTGAAAAAATTTCTTGAATATTCACATTCTTCTGGTATTGGAAAGGAACTGATGGTTCTAAAATTAATTCTTCATTTTATTGTAATACACTGTTACGAAGTCTGAAGGATCATTTTTATGGATAAATTCCACTAAATTTTGAGATACAATCAACTACCATCACAAGGCTAAGTTTACAGGGATTCATTTCTTCAAATTCATGTATCATTAACACAAGTAGAATACAAACCAGTGAAACCTGGCAACTGATTCACTTATCACTTAATACAAAAGCATAATTTCAAGATATCTTAGAACAAATATTCAAAAGATTATAAATAAGAAATCAACAATTAAAGTTTTGGGAAGTGTTTGAATTTAAAAATTGTAGGCGACAGAAGTAAGCCAAACCGTCACTAAAGAATGTTGATTTATTGTGGGAATGCTGATGTGACTGGCATAACTTAGACGAAATAATGGGAGTCATCTTTGTTAACATATCTTAATTCTGATACTCCACTTTCAGCAGCTTTGCTGTCATCGTCTTTCTAAAAATAATCATATTTTATATTATAAGGGGCTGAAATAGATCATTACATGGAAGTTAGTTAATTATTCACAAGGACATTAGCTTGAGTGTGTAATTACTAACAAGCACATAATAGTCTTTCAGTCAAGTGTAATATATAATATTTTAATGTATCCCATCACCTTTGCAATATTTTGAGCTTATACTCTTCTACAAGTAGGTGTAATGAGACATATTATACTGATTTAAACTGTTGGAGGCCTTCAAGGATAGATTTGAGTTGACAATCACTGTCTGTTGCAAGAAAATGGAAGATATTTCTGGAAGTATTAAAAGTGAAGCTGCAAAAGCTGTGAAAGATTTACTACCCAGTAAATATAAAGATATATATCATAAAGAACAAGAAATTTTCAAAGAGTGGAAGAGAGGAAGAAATGTTAAGAATGGAAGTGAAATTTCAGCTTACTTTGTAGCGAAAGTAAGTACCAATATGAAATGCAGGTTCTTAGGAATGTAAACAAAAGTGTTTGTTATACTTAGATATTTGATGACTATTTTGAGTAAATATGTTATTTCATTAACATATTGTTAAGAATAAGTTTGTTACTATGTATATTCCATCATTTTTCCATTTTTCGAAACAAAAAATTATATTTTTTTTCTGCATCATATTGTTCAGTTTGCTGGCAGTTTTTTGTTGTTTATTGTGATAATTGATAGCTACTTTATTACAGGGCTGAAATAAAGAGCCATTTCACGGCCCCACACATGTATGTAAACAGCTTGCAAAAGTGATAGAATAAGATAAAAGAAATTCATTATACTTATATTTTTATTTCTTTTTAATGATGATAATAGCAAAGTTTTGAAAGAAGGCTACAAAAATAGTCATGTTGACTAAGACGACAGCTGTTATTTCATATACAAAAAGGGGTTCAATCATTACATATTAAAAGAAGTACGAATACTATCATAAAATTCAGGACTGTAACGGAGCTACCCACCTTTCTCAGTCCTAAATTGCATTTCTTCCATTACCAGCTCCCTCTGGTGTAAAATGAAGAGATGCTCTCTCAAGTGACTGTACGATGAGAAGGCCTCCATGCAGTGCAGCTCAGGACACCTAATCCTGGGTGTGTGGCTGTTTGCAACGCCCTCCTTGTGAATCTTCTGCCGGTGCCTTCGAAGGGAATTCTTATTGGTGAACGCTTTACCACAAAGAGAACACACCTCAGTCTTACAACGCTTCTGTGGAGAGACAGGGTCACTAGCACCCACCAATTTGTGAATGTTTCTCATATGAGCATACAAATTCTTTCGTTTTGTAAACATCTGACCACAGTCAGGGCAGCCAATATCGCTTGATTTTGCTGGACTGCTCTTTGCAATTACTTCTTCTGTTTTATTAGTAATATCATTGTTTTCTTGAATCTCATTTTCAACAAAGACAACAGGAAATCCGTTTTGATCTCTTTCATTAGTAATGTCTTGGTCAGAAACGGCACAATCTTCTGCCCCAACTTCATAATAAGTGACAGAATATTCTTGGTTTTTGCCTGTCAACTCAAGAACTGTAGGGACGTGTGAGTGTTGCTCCTCAAAAAACAGAAGGGGTCCATCGGCAGTGAATGGATGAATTTCTTCAAGGACAGGTGTGGAGATATGCTGCTTCAAAGATGCAGCAGAAATATCAGTGCAATGATGAAAACTATGTTCAGAAGGTTCATTTGGATTTTCAATATTATCAACAGTTTTATTTTGCATGACATCAAATATTTCTTCAAATGAACCACTATTTCTCACATTTTCTGAAAAATGCAAATTAAGAATGAATCATGTTGAAAATTGTTGCAAAACCAAAAATAAATTGACAGAAGTTTCCTATAAAACTTTCAGTAAACATGTCCTTTTTAAAATGTGATTTCAAAATGAAATTTAAATGTTTTATACAAAGGAATAATAATAACTAATAGCCTGCAACAGCAAAAAGGCTGCAGAATAAAATCACACTAAAGGGTTTTTCAAAAAAAGCATGTACAGTGCTCAAGAACAAAAAATAACATATTTAATTTAATGTAGTGTTACAAACAAGAATTTTAACAAAAATAAGAAATGAAAAATCTTCACAAATACTGCAATGACACAATATAGTATATATGAATTCACAGTACAACACTTATATACATACCAAGAATAAGAAAAAACTTGTTGTTCCCCACTGAGGCTTTCAGAATTTCCCCTAGTTCCTTGGAATCTAACGAAACCATAGACACTCATTACCTATCACATGACTGTAGACTTTCAATTTCGGTTCACATTGGAAATTAGTAACCTATATACTTCTCAATATGAAGCACTTTTTGCATTTTCTCCAGAGTGCCTAGGCCTCTAACAAAACCATAGACATTTGTTTCAAGACAAGTTGAATTCCAGACTGTCACATTGAAACACATTCTTCTACACTTTTTCCCCCCGCTCTGGGAAGTGAATAATACAAAAAATTTCCCAGAACTTTCTGCCTTTTCAACTCATTAATACTTTCTTATGATTTTTTTTAAAAATTGTAATTCCTGTATTTCTACAATAGGTACTGTATTAACCAGCAGCTGTTTGTCCAACATCCATTTGATAAGTTCTGCTTATAAATCTTTTTCTACAAACCAAGAATAGACTGTAGCAAGGAGAGCATGGGAAAAATCATTATTGCTCCTTTCTGTGATTTACTCAAATTTTGATGACCACATTGACTAATTGCAGAATGGATCCAGGCTGCTTGGACGCATATCCAATAAATCCATTATAAATGGCTTTAATAAGTGTTGTGTAATAAATGCATTAAATGAGACTGAAGACAATCTACTTCACGGGAAAGAGCAATTACAATGACAATGGCAGTTCCAGTGTGGAAGATTAAGTAGGATCTGCATCTGGCTAAATGAGGACTGAATTTGTAAATTTAGAAAATACGAGTATATCTAGTATGTGCTTTACATGTTTTTCTGTAATTCCTCTTTTTAAAAAGAAGGTTCATCTTGGATTAAGATATACACAGTTCATGACTATCCAAGTTTGGATTTACGCTTCTAAGAAACCTAACATGAACAGAAATTGGGAGCATAAGTAACAATAAACTCAAAAGCAGGTCTAAGCATGATGGGCAAATTAAACCATGGAATTTTTCTGTAATTTCCCAATAATTTTAATGTAGCTACCATTCCACAATAAATGAATATCATTCTGCAATAAATAATTAGTACTGATAAACTGAAATAATTTAGATAGAAATAGATTTTGATGTTTCATTAATAATTTCACATTTTACTTTCCCAAAAATTTCCCTCAAAACACTGCTCACCTGCCTCCGCATCTTATATTTCCATTTATCAACAATAATCATCTTTCATATTCTTCAAACTACATTATTGTAACCTATTAAAATTTCACCTTAAAGCCAAAGAAAACTTACCTAATTGCTGCAAGTCTTCTGAAAGAATCTCTGTATTCTTTGCTTCATTTACAACCTGCTTTGGAAACGAACCAATATGAAAATCTCTGAAGATATTATGCAGATCTTTCCTCTTAACTAGCTGACCTCTCCGAGAATCAATATTCTGTAATTTACCATTGTGGATATCATACAGAATTTGCTGAAAAGAATGTCCTAGTTTCATTCTATCTGAAAAGAAATAACAAATAATTAATATACTATCTGAAAGAAATTATAAAATCAATTAATTAAATAAATAAAAGGTGTCCAGTATCAAATATATATTTAATCTTAAGATCTTTTCAATAAACCTAGAATTTTATTTTCTGCCAACATGTTACAAAGTACGTATAACGATGTTTGCTTATGTATGTTAAGGTTATACTATGTTAAGGTTTTGTATATAACATTTTTGTAAATAATTTGTATGATTTATACTTCATACTTCATTTTATATTTTGTGTCCTCTTGTAATTTTTTCAGATAGCTCTGGCAATGATCACTATGCGATAGAAGAGATCTTAAGAATAAATATATATTTTATAAAAGACATGGCCTCTTATTTATTTAATTACTAGAAAGTATCTACCTCACCAGCGATCTTATTAATTAATATTAATAATGCACTCCTTTTCTTAATCCTCAAACATTTTTTTTGTGAATTTGTAAGTTCACTGTTTGAAGCAGTATTTTGTATCACTGTTATTCCCAGTCTCAATACTCAATAACCATTCAGAGTTTTTATCAATCATAAACACGTGAAATGTTCTTCATATTGTTTTGTCTACACCAGAAGATGATCTAAGTCTTTAAATACTACTAGAAATTTTCTCTTTAAACACCCCAAAGTCCTCATAATCAAAATCAGTGCCAAGACCAAAACTTTCTTTTGAAGGGAGATTGATAAGTGAACATTTGACATAATGACAAACACAAAATTCATTATTTTCTATCTCTCTATAATTTTGTAACAAAACCTTTGACCCCTTCAAGCACCAAAATTGAACAGTATCTCCAGAATTACGGAAATATAATTCAAGTAGTGTAACAAATAATTAAATGGAAAGGAATCAACCTATTGTAAGTGCTTTTTGAGAATCTTGTTATGCCTGTGCTTCCAAAATGTCTGCAAACAAGACATTTGGTTTTATTTAAGCATATGCTCACTTTTTAAATGCTGCCTTCCCTTTCAAACAATTTGTGGCAGACCTCCTCTCTTGTTCCCCAAATCCCTATAGTGTGTGTGAATTTTGTGACGAACCATTAAGAACAACTGGGTGACCTGTTTTCTTCTCAATGAAAAATGTCATTGATATCATTTACTTAAAAGTATTTTTTTGATAATAAATATGAAATTAGTTTCCTTAACATTTGCAAATGTCAAAGGACAAAACAAGGAGGAGACTCCTATTAGATTCTTTTTGCAAATAAAAACACACTTTGTAAACTACAAATATTTATAACCTGCAATTTCAGTTCGTGCTGCTTTGCTTAAGTGGATGTGCTCGAGGTCCATACTGTGACCAATATGAGTTTTCCAAAATTTGACCTGCATCATTCCATCTTTGATTGTCACCTCCAATCGGGCTGGGCATGTTGTTCCTATTTTAATAGAACCTGTAAAATGGATTGTAAGAATGTTCTCCATTTTAAAAATATTTCAATTATTAACAATACAATAAGTGTTGTAATTAAAAACTCCAAAAGCAACCCCTTAACATTCTTCAAAATTCAATAATTGTTCAAATTTAAACAATTTTTACTGTTCAAAGTTTAAACAATACAAGAGTATTTTAAAACAACTTTTTAATCTCCCAATTTCATTTTTGTATTATGCATAATCTATGTAGACCCCATAAGATCAATTCTTAATTGATAACTAAGGCCTGAAAAAATCAGGATTTTTTTACTAACATTTTTTTATTCAAATCAGTTTTTTAATTTAAATAAGACTTTTTTACTGAAATCCGATTTCTTTAATTCAAATAAGATTTTTTTAAATTGTATTACATGTTTTTACTTTAAACCAAAATCTTTTAGCGATTTATTTATCCTTAATTACTTTAAAAGCAGAAGAATGTATATTGAAACATGTTTTTGAATTTATCATTAAGTTGTTGTAATTTTATTAAAACAAAATAAAGGTACCTAATCCCCAAAACCTTTAAATATGATTTACTTATAGTTTCATGCTCTTGAAACCTTTCTCTTGTATCCACAATCCGGAATAACCTTGTGGTACCATCTATTAGTATGATTAAAAAAAAGAAGCATTTTATGTTCAAAGAAATTTTACCATTTTTCTGTGCAATACTGCCCAAATCAAAAAGCACTTCTTTGTTGAAAACAATGAATTCATAGAAAAACTTTAAAAAATGTTAGTCAGTTTTAGAAATATCAAATTCTACTTAATAGTTGTCCTGTTATCAAAAAATAGAGGGTATAATGTTTGTTACTTGTGCACATTCCTATTAATCCTTTAATGGCCAGTGGAAAGTATGCCTCCCCCTTAAGATGGATTTTTATCAATGTACACATAAAAAAGGTTAATATTATTAAAACTAGTGAGATAGACTACAGTTTTCATTCGTTTTAACAATATTAATTTTGTTCTTTAAGTGAGTATTAATAAAATTCCATTTTTATTAATACTCGTCATCTTTAAGATGTTCAGCAGTGACTTCAGCAAATATTTCAATAGAAATCGTGAATTATGGACAACCGTGAAGGTTTAAACATGTTTTTCTTGAAACTAGCTCAGTGTGTATTAGGGCGGTATTGGTGCTAAATTAATATTTTATCCACAGACAATTAAATGCTGGATAAAAACTAATCAACCATCTAAGTCTAATAGTAAATAACTCACCTACAAATTGGTTAAATTTCTTAGATTCATAAATTTGTTCACTTTATTGTATCTTATATTGTATTTTATTTTCTCAATATACTAGTTCAATTAATTGAAAAAGTTTAATAGAAATATAATATATTTTTTACATCAAGTTTGTAATTAATTTGAGTCTTTTTATCTGAGTAATTTTTATTTTACAAATACTTAAAATACAAATATATTTTCAAATATTACAAATAATATTGTTTTAAAAAATATCAATGATTTCAATCATACCAGCCTTATTCATAACAAAATATTATGTTTTTATTTCTTGTGAAGCATCTGCTTTTGGTAATAAAATTAATATTATATAAACTTTTCAGAATTATGAAACTAATAAATCAAACAAGCATTATTTATTTTTTATATTTTTAAATTTCACTAATGAGTATTCACAATAAACATGCTATGAAATAAAATAATTTTCCTAAGGCCTTTAATTCAGTAATTCCTTGAGAGAGAAAGGTACAATGAATGAATGCAAACTCACAACACCTGCACTTTTTAACCGTCTTTTGTTTTGGCCAGATCCTCTGTAGGTGTAAGAACGGTGGCAGTTGTAATATAGTTTCTGAGTTCCATCTTTCATTGTTTTTTTTGAAGTATCTGCAACGAATAATGAAACAGTCTTTATCTGCATCTCTTCTTTCCATTGGAAAAAATCTGCAACAGAATTAAAAAATATCAAAAGAATCTTTTTAGTTTATTTACTTATATATATATTACATATTTATAATATATATATATATATTAATAGTATTATATATATATATAGTATAGTATATATATATTACTTATTATAATTAATACAAACATATTGCTAGTAATTAAAAAAATAATATCATGAAGCACACATTCAGCAAGTTAGTTGTTTTCAGGATGGTTACAAAAATGTGAAGTAAATTAAGAAAAAAATTATTACATTCATATATTACATCTGCATTGTTCTACATGTTTCTTGATAAGAATTAATGACCAATGACATATATCTCTTTACATTAATACACAATACAGACAAAAACACATTAAACCTCTTTTATATCATTTAAAGATATTAGCAATATTTTGACTCCTACAATTGGAGTCATCTTGAAATGAACATGAAATGAATGGTTAGAAAGATACAACTGAAATAAATATTGGGTGAGTCCAGGTAATTCACAAAAGTTAGTACGTAGACAAATAATGAAAACTGCTATAACTATTACATACTATTCTCATTTGTACCAAAGAGATACAATTTATGGTGTTCTGACAATTACTTCATAATTTTGGGATTTAAAGAAATTAATACTTGTTTAAGTATTAATTTGGTATATGGTTGCCCTTACATTGTAAAACTGTCAAATTTTCTTATCCAATATTTGTCAAGAGCACTTATATTTCTTTTATTTTCGGTTCAATCACTATAAAACTTGCTTACTAACTCAGATGATAAGAAGATATAAAATGGAGAACTTTTGATCAAATTTTGTTGCACCTCAGATTGCTGTTAGCACAAATACTCAATACAAGACAATTTCATGTACTCATAATGATATTTAAATTACAGAGAGAGGCAATTTCAAGAGACTTAAATTACAGAATTCTCTCTCTTTGAGATGCTATTACAACAAAACAAGTTTGTACATAGCCAAAATAATTAAAAATTAAAAAATGGTAATATTATTGGACAAATGCACATTTTTAGGCTCTATACTGAAACGGCATATTTAGACACCTAAATGAAGTTCCTGAAATATTATAAAGCCAAGGAAAGCTTTTAATTAATTTTGAGTCTTTATCAAAACAGTAAAATAAGTACTTGTCTAAAAATTCTGACTAATGATGATGCAATGTATTTAAACATAACTTGATGAAATATTAGTTTAATATGACATGTATTTAATAAATTATTATATAGATAATAGCATTCCTTTTAAGTTTCTTTTTATTAGATTTGAATAATTATTTCCATGTTGTCATGTTGAATAAGAAGAGGTGATCTCTTTGAAGTGTCCAACACATTAAAAACTTTTGCTAAAAAGAATAAACAACTTCAGAAATGGCTTTGAAAATAAAAATGTGAATATATTAAAGAACAAATTACATTATTAATAATTGGGTTTTGAGAGAAACAGTCATAACACCCCAACCTTCTGGTTGTTGAGAATTTCTGTTACTTGGGAAGCTAATTTGAGAGATACATCACTATCAAACAACCCAAAGTATTCATTTTATAACAGTAAACTTCTCAATAATCACATTTAATAGAAATTTTAAAAAAATGGGTATAATTTGGTAAAATAGGTATAACATAACCTTCCTCCGAAGAAAATCGAATTTCGTCCACAAACAGTTCCTTTTCGTGATGTTCGGTTAGGTGTTCTCGCAGATGACAATATGTAGGGAAGGCCTCATCGCAACCTGACTCGGGGCACTTAATTCTTGTGCTATGAGCAAAGTTCGCAACACCATCGTGCATTTTTTGCATGTGTCTTTGAAGGTTGTGCTTCATAGTGAAGGCTTTTCCACATCCCATGCACAGTTCAGTCTTTTTTCGAATCTTCCGAGGTACGGGATCTTTTTCATCTTTTAATTTATGAACATTTCTCATATGTGCATACATATTACTCCTCTTCGTGAACATTTCATTACACACAAGACATTTCACCGACTTGTTCGCCATGTCGTCCTTGTAGTACATTTAATTGCACAATGCCTAAATGCAAACGTATAATTATTTTAAGACGATTTTATAACGTCGATGCCTCCGGTAGCACAAACCAAGCGGGCACGCGAAGCATCCGTGCATACTGCCGTGAGACACCGCAACACTCGCGGTTCGCCATCTGAGAATTGTGTAAATCCGTTGCTTCCTGGCTCCAATCATTTAGAGTGATTTCTGGCATTTAACAGCTGGAACACAATTATCCAATCGAGAGCTTCAATACCGAAAATCAAGTCGTAACGAAGCTTTCGATTGGAGAAGCGCGACCAAGCTGATGAAACGTCAGAAGTCACTACATAAATCGGAGTGTAGAGCTCCAAAACTTTGCATTACCCATTCCACAGTATACACGTGTCTGGCGTGTTGACTAGAAGGACCTCAGTTCAAATCTCGGCGCGGAGAAAAAAATGTGGCGGATATTGCACTTTTGCAGGTTTATGGATTAGAATAAAACTATGTAGCAGTGACAAATAATACGTGAAAGTATGTGCCGTTGTAGCACCACTCGTCCGTTAGTTCGTCCGTCCGTCCGTCCGTCCTTCCGTCTGTGAACAACACTAGTGCCTAAACTATTCGTAGATTTTTTCCAAAATGAATATTCGCCGATAGATTTGGCTCGTGAAGCCATGCGACTCCAAAAAAACATTCCTTAAATTTTCGATGCACTATATAAGAGACCCTGGTACATCAACATTTTCTCAAAAAATGGCTCCAATTTTTTCCTGAACATCTTATAGTGACTGCTTTTAAGACCCGGTGAGAAGAGTAACAATAACAACAACAATAATAATAATAACAATAATAATACATTTTATTCATTTTCACCCTAATAAACAAATACACCGAAATGAGCGAATGCTTGCGCTCGAGAGAAATTTAAGAGAGCTTAATACGAAGACAAAACTGAGATATGGTACAAAGACAAACCTGTTATAAAAAGTAAAATACTATTTTTCAAAACTTTTATCATACGTACAGAAAATTATTCAAAACATGTGTTATTTCAAGGAAAGAAAAACTGTCGCGAACTATGATAATATACAATTTAAGAAATAAATTAGCAAAGGATGGAAATCTTCATTTGAATTAAACAATGAGGACCTGTGTTGTTGTTGTTATTATTATTATTATTATTATTATTATTATTATTATTATTATTATTATTATTATTATTATTTGCTTAATGCGACGTCTCCCGTAAATATTTTCACGTTCAAAAATTGTATTTGAGCTTTGCAAGTTCATAATTAAAATACATTTTATTGTTATTAACGCCATTAAAACGACAAACACCAACTATCCAACTAAGTCTGTTATTTATGATATCGATCGTGCATCGTTTAATACTTTTCGTAATACCATCTTCTTTTAAGAAAAAAAAAACAATATAAATAAGAAACACCTTTGCTTTTAATACGTACAGTGTCATGCCATCTTCCATTCCAAATCGATACGATTGTTGCTTCCGACGCGACAGTTACGAGAAGCCCAAGATTTTATCGTAAGAACATATTAGAAACATTTTACTGGAAGCAAATGGTTTTTTAAAAAAAAAAATTGTTATTTTTAGGGCGTGTCAACGAGACGAACTTGTGTTATTGACTATTAAGGATATAGAAACCAATATGAACGGAGTGTAAGTTACACTGAATTGCACAAAAATAATAAATAGAATATAATACCGAAATATTGTCTTTCATTCATTGCATTAAATTTGCTAACCTACTAACCTAGAAACGAGAAGTTTTTTCATAGATTATAGAAATGGAAAATGCACTAAAGAAGTTGTGGGTATACTCGTACACACAATAGGAGACCCTCTAAAAATATAGAAGAAATTTTAAAATTAGACCCTCTTGAGTTATGCACAGGGCATTGTTTTCAGCGAACATCGGCCTCAATTTTGGTCAATTGGCTGAAGTCGGCTGCGATGCTCAAGAGCCGCTCCCAAGGTACAATTAAAACCATCAAGACACATGCTTTTCTGGAATCGACTAAGAATTTACCCAATTTTGTCGAGACGGATCGAATGGGCCAACGATTACTTGTGCAAATGAAGTAAATCACTAATAAAGAGTTTTCATTACTTACAAATTCAGATATTTTAGAGAAATCTCTTGGAATCTTTCGGATGGAGTCGCAAAAATATAGTGAGTTCCCCGTCAGAAGATCGGAGCGCATCAAATGACACCTCATTTGAAGTCGAGTGACACCGCGGGCCTCGCACCGCGCGCGATCTTTCCTTCCTCTTCCTCGCCGCTTAATTACACTTCACAACCACGCGCCGGGAGCTTAAGGCCTGTCCCAGCCGGTGGGAGATACCTGGTTGGGGAAACCGCGCCCGCCTACGTGTAGGTCGACGCCGGGTCTCATTCTCGAACGGCGGAAGCGCACCGCCACTTCCGGAGGGAAGAACACGTCCCTGTGGGACCCCCTCGTCGTCAGTATCAAATTCTGATTTTGTTAAAAAAACAATTTGGCGATATTTGAAAACAAATGTTTAAAAAATTCATTGATGTGTCTTTGCGAAATAAGTTTAAAGAAAAACCGTAGAGTAATAAAATAGTTTTGCAAAAAATGTGAAATTTAAGAGAAATATGTAAAGCAGAGTAGTCTAGCTTATAGTTCAAAATATGTAACGATAATTTTGGATATTTTTTTTTTATATAAGATTTGGAAGTGTTAGAATTGCTATGATTCGCCAAGATTACAATTTCTAGAACTGAATAAACGAAGACAAAAAGATGAGTATGAGAAATTCGCTTTCCTTTTTTTCAAAAACAAGAGAAACTTCCTTACAAATTCGGAATGCTATGGACTGCGTTTTAGAAAGCTGTGGGGGAACAAGGCGCTAATGAGAAAATCCTTTTGTCCGTTGCACGCTGTCTGATTGTTTATAAAGCGAGTGTAAGCAACTTGACCTGTTTTCATACATTTTAGTTTATTTTATCAGCAACATTTGTTTCCCGAGAAGGAAGGAATGTTTTTGAGGAATTATTCTCGAACAACAGATATTTGTAAGGGAAGAGTTAAAAAGTTATTGAATTGAATATGTTTAAAACATGATAAAGTACTAAATTACATAAATACGTTTCTCGAAAGTAGATAGATTTAATTCTTTCATTAAAATTATAATCCATAACTTTTTTCATCCCTTGCGTGTTTCTTGTTAATGAATGCTTATTAATTTCGTACTAGTACCACAAGTTTGAATGAAAATGAAAAATTATTTTAGAAAAATTGTAATTGAAATTCTGTTTGAAAATATTTATAAAGACGTGATTGTAGTGTTCTTGCAAGTGCTCTTTAAATTGTTTATTCACATTTTTGTTATTGAACGTGAAATTGTTTTTAAAAGTTGCATTTTTATGGAAAAGTAACCGTGATGTTTGTAGTGAAAAGGAGAGGTATTTTTGTGGTTCCTGATTGGGCAGCGATGCGTCACGAATCTTCGTATCAGAATTTTCCGGGAGTCAGCGCTTGAAATTGTGACGTGTCCGTGACGATTGAAATACGTAGCAATAATTGTGACGTTGTGAGACAAGAATTCTAGCTGTGCGCCAGCGCGGGTCCCTTCCTTTGGTGCCCGGGTACAGTTGACGAGCAGACGGTTCGACGGAAGGTGTTTGTGGCTGGCTTATATTGGGCAAGGCAGTGCGATCCCTTCTTGCAGGTGTTGCGGTGAACAATTGTAAGTGTAAATTCATTTTATTAAATTTCAATTTTTTTATAATTAAAGGAATAGAATATTGTCAATATTTCTATGACTCTTATTATATTTTATCTGAATATTCAATATTTATATTATACTATACGTTTATAGTAATTATACTATACGTTTATGTAGTAGTTACATGTACAACAATTCTCGAGTTTTTTTAAAGCAAACTTAACGTTGGTAGATACTTTCAGTAAGTAAAATGTGGAAAATAATTACGTTGCGCTTAAATAATTGCAATGATGTGTAGACATTTTGAAACGCTAGGCCTTCAAAAGCCATGGAGGCGTGGCTCGTGGCCACGTGTTTTATGATTACAATGAATGGTGAGGCGTCCGGCCATCGATAGAAGCGGCGATTACTAAGCACAGGGATAAAGAGATTGCGTTTTAAATATTTTAAACAAGTATTGGATACTTAATCAATATATGATTAGTTTAAACAATACTGACGGGAAATAGTCATAAACGAAAAGATCGCAATAAATGCGCAATTGCGAAGTCTCCGCCTGTTCTCGGTGACAGTCGGCCGCAGCATTTTATGATTTTTATTGAAGGTCGCATTAACTGCAAGGTCATTAGCGATCACAATATTATTTTATAAATGTTGGGGGCAACGGCAACGGCAAGGAAGTAGGGGTACGGAACTCGCCCACTGTTCTGCGGACAAAGCGTCGTTAAGAGGACCGCCAGGTAGCCTCCCACGCGCACTGCGCGTCTCTCCCCAGAGGCAGAATGGGGAAGCAGGACGCTTCAGAGGTTGGAGGAGCAGGCCAGCTCGTGTTGTTGGAACAGTTTTCACTTGTGGGTGTCCGGGAATCGAAGAAGGCGAGCGACCTCGCCGTTTGTCACGAGTGGCCTACGACGCAGCGGTGTGTTAGATTACCTGTTCGACTCTTCTGCAGATCACGTGCGCTTTCGTAATTCAGTTGCAACGCACGCTTGTTCGCCACGACTGGCTCGGCGAGTGGAAGACGAAATGGCGTCGGCGTCGGCAGCGATCGCATTTGAGATCTGTGAAGCTGAGAGCGCGCGCGTTGACTCTTGAGCGCATTAGGTTATCAGTGGTGTTAAAGTCTATGAATTACGGGAAAGATTTTAAGAAGATTGAAACAAAAATAATTAGCTTCTCAGAAATTGCAAGGGAAGCTGTCCACGGCACGCAAGGCCGACTCTGTCCTTGGTCATTAAATTCGGCAACTGAAGTTCCCAAAAGACGGTTTGCACCACGCACTGTCTCTAGTTATGACCTTCAAAAGGGGCTCTATGGAAGTAAGCGTCGAAGCTCTCTTGAAAATAAAAGGTAAGGCCAACAAAAAAGGCAAATGAAGGTGTAAGAGTTTTTTCTGGATTTTATAATTGATGTGCACTTTCAAAAAAAGCTACGGCTCACGGAAAATAAGAATAGTAATGATCATATTGACCGCCTCAGACTTAATCTTACGTCCGTGCTCACAATTTCTATTTTAATACCGGGTTAGTGTTCAGAAGACTTGCTGAAACAAATGTGGATAACATATACCACAAATAAGTTCTTTGAATGTTTGACTGATCCTGGTTCGAAAGATCGCTTGTAGCACTGGCGTGCGCAGCTTTGAGCAATAGAGGGGAAAAATACTTCGGTGTCCGCTTTTCCATTAAACTTTTTCACATGTCCCACTACACCTAATAAATAAAACGTATTTATAGAATGAAATGATTTCAATTACCTTGATTAAATACAATTAATTTTATGTCAAATCACGTAGTTGTCACATGACCGCCGCTTCCCAAAGGTCTTGAAACAATCCCACAAATTATCATGTTAAGAATGGGTGAATCAGATTTAGCGTACTATTGACGAAAATAAATTGTTTCTTACTCAAGGCTACGGGTCCCATTTGAAACGTTTGAGGGGGAAGCCCCCTCCGCCATGCGGCCGTGTAGGTCCTGTGGCGCCAGAAAGACGGTTTCGCGCGTTGGACGCCTATGCGATGCCTGCGCCACAACGCTTCGCCTCGCCACCAAGGACAGTTTTGGGGCAGCACAGTCCCATCGTAAAGTTGCACACTTTGTTAAAAGAATTGAATAGTTTGGTTTTTGGTTTCAGGCAATGGCTGTTTTGCGAGATCTCGGCGTCGCTGGGGTGGTGGGGTGCGGCGATTGGCAGCGAAATATCAAGCGTGGAGAGTTCGAAACGAGATGTGTTGACTAGGATGTGCCAGACGGTAAGTTTTGTAAAGATGTAATGGACCACGGTTTAAGTAAAAGTATTAAGTTTTGTTTTGTTATGACAGTGACCTTTTTCGCCTGATGTAATTAACAAATGGCCCTCGATGGCTCGTTGGTTATCGTGATTGCTTTCTATGGCGCCGGGACAAAATATAACTGTACGCTTTCGTAACAAATGTCCCATACAAATGGGTAATTCCATGTGAAATAAGCCGAAAAAAGCATAACCCATTCCAATTGGTCTAAAAGTTGTTTGAATGGTTCAATGTGATTTAGAGAAAGCTAGAAGCCTCATATTTAGTGACTCATATTTAGTGCGTGTTTGATCTTTGACATTGTTTTATATTTATTTAAAATTAGCCAAATTTCCGAGCAATTTGGAAGAGCTTTAGAAAAATTGAATTTTTAAATGAAAATACCCTTTCTAATATCAAGAAGAATGTTTCTCCTAGTAGTACATAGTTCAAATAAAATATTTATTGCGTTAAAGCTTGTATAACTCGCATTCTAGATCAAAGTTTTTACTCCCGAACTCAAAAGATTTTTTTCAAAACTAAATTTCCAAAATAAGTATCCTTCGATTTTAGTTTTTTTTGTCTGAAAAATTCTAGACACTCTATATTTTCATTCCTCAAAAAATCAGCGTGTGATTGTAGACATTTCAAAAGTCCCGGATGTTTAAAGTCAAAATTTTTTTTTTCAAATAATTGATTTTTTGAATGTTGTGCATATTTTCATAGATTATTATTACAATCTACATTTCTCAATCAACCTTTATGGATAATTAGTTATTGTAACAATATTTCTGATCATACATTCTGCAAAGATTACGTTAATTCTATATGATATTTCATACCAAGTCGGACATTTTTTCCATAACAATTTTTAAGCCTAAATAATTCATTTCTGATTCATCGGTACCTCAAACTCAAGAAATAAATGATAACACGCCTTGTTTGACAAAATTGTTTTTCTTTATTCTAAAAGTCAATTAAGAATTATAAAAAATATTTGAGTTATTTTTTCGTAATAAAATTGACTTTGTTTAAATTCCCGGTGGACTTTCTCGTATTTTTGCTGATCTAAAAAATAAGGAATTAAAATATAATAACTTACAAATACAAGTTAGAGTAATTAATTTATTCAATTTATTTATATATTTTTGCACCTTGTGAGTGTTGGTGAATTCTCTCTACACTGAGATTCCTGGTTGTAGTTCTCAAGCACGTTTATAATTTTCGAAAATGTGGAAAACGAAGTGGCCTTCATGTTTGAATGGCATGTTTGAATCTTTTATTTTGTTCCTGCGCTTCGATCTTTAGTTCTTGTTTAGAGGCATAACTGAAATTAATTCCAGTTATGTTCTCTTTATCCCAGTTATATAGTTGTTCAGGTGTTTGAATTTGATTCTCGTAAGGTGATTGTGAGCTATATCGCATTGCTAATCTTTAAGAGTGCCCCCTAATCCATCACTGGGCCCCTTTCCGTGCGCTGTCGCAAAGAAATGACACTCTGCCGAAATTCCAAAATCTTTCTCATGAAGTGCCAAATTAAGAATGTTATATCTGTTTTTATATTGAGCCGTGGCACCATCAGACATGTAAACCATTTTATTCAAAAATGGAATTTCGGGTTTTAAAAACTGTATTAATAGGTTTTGGAAGTAATGGACTGCCGTGGTTGGTATTGTGGGTTAATTCGTCGGAGATCACAAAATTTAGGGGCTTGACAAGTTCTCTATCACTCGGTCGGTAATAGCAAGCGAAAGGGTGAATCGTCGCTTGATTATAACTCCAATGGACGTTTTGGATACTGTCTTGCAATATAAAGGCATAGTTTTCGGAAAAATCGAAAATAGCAATTACTTCTCCAACACGAATTTCTTGTCATGATTTTCTAAAAAATTGTTGTTTAGCAATAAAGTGATGAGAAGATAGATCTTTCAATTTTTCCAAAAATATTTCAATGAAAGAATCTGCAGGTCTTGCAACTGTTTCCAAAGAACAATGATCTACTTGTATCCATTGTTTACCTGCTATTGTATCCATCAAATTTTCCTCGAAAAAAATTGTTAAAACTTCTTGTAGTACAATAGTACCTGGACACTTTTGGCATATCATTAAATGGCAATCTTCAGTTGGTGAAATGAATTTGATGCTTTGTAAAAAATCTGTATATGTACTCAATTGTGCAATACGAAACTCCAGGGAGGATATTTTTGCACCCAATAACATGAGTTTGAAATTTTGATGTTGAGTAGATACACGCACTGTGAGTGCTTGATGCACCGGCTAAAACACATTCCTTAGGTCGCAGTTCAGCGAATTTTGAAAACTAAATTTTCGTATCAGTATATTTCTCTTTGAAATATATGAAAATTTCTTTTAAATTGCCCAAAAGCAGTCGTTTTTGTTTGTGCTCACGTTTGCCATTTACATAAACTCAAGTCCAAATAGAATGAAGTGACTTGATCAATCGCTTCTTGTGACATAGTTCGTCCTTTTTTTGACGCAGGTGTACAAAGGATACCTTCTTTTTTCACTAATTCGATGGTTTTAGCAGCTAAATGTTTTGACAGTAAAAACTTTTACTATTGATGAATTCCAGGACGCGGGTAATACTGACAAAATCAAAACTTTTTCAGCATTAGAACACGTTGTTTGTAATATGTCCTTCAGTTGTAAAATCATCTCATATCCATCTGTTTCATTATCCGTAGCATCATTAAAATCTGAAAAGTATAATTTAATTAAATAGTTTGATCTTCTCCATGATAAATTTATTTTGGATTATTTCAAATACCTTCAATTTGTTTGCCACTGTTGTCATTGGGAACAATTTGTTGAAAAGCACTAGCATAACAAGTTTATTTCCTTAATTGTCTTCAATCTATAATTCATACTTTCCAAGTCCCTTTTCTTTACTGTACTTAAATTCATAATTTCTAATGCATCATTGACTTTTTTGAAGAGTGATTTCTACAGGAGTACCAAATACGTTTGGCTAGGTATCACTTTCAGATACTGACAATCCAGATGTTTGATTGATCATAGCGTCCAAATGTTCATTTGTTGCATGTTCAATTGGTTGCAAATTAACATCGTCATTACCAGTCGCATAATTTTGCTTAGCATTTAAAGCTTTTATACAACGTGTGCAAATTTTATTACCTTCTAACACATTTGGATTTTTTTAATTTTATTTTCTGCATAATTTACAATCTGTTCCTATCGGAACAATAAACAAATGGTGTCAACAGATACATTTCCGACACGAACAATTTATGACAATGAAAGATTTCATTTACAAAATCGGTATGGCAGATCTAAAATACTCTCTCTCCTCCAGTCTATACACATGCTCCACTGTTTATCTGAAGGCTTTGTTGAG